ACTAATATCCACATCCATTAATGGTATCTACAAATGTGACTCACTAATATCACATTCATTAATGGTCACTAATATCACATTTCATATAATGGTATCTACAAATGTGACTCACTAATATCACATTCATTAATGGTATCTACAATTGTGACCCCCTAATATCACATTCATTACTGGTATCTACAAATGTGACTAACTAATATCACATTCATTACTGGTATCTACAAATGTGACTCACTAATATCACATTCATTAATGGTATCTACAAATGTAACTCACTAATATCACATTCATTACTGGTATCTACAAATGTGACTCACTAATATCACATTCATTAATGGTATCTACAAATGTGACTCACTAATGTCACATTCATTACTGGTATCTACAAATGTCACTCACTAATATCAAATTCATTACTGGTATCTACAAATGTGACTCCCTAATACAACATCCATTACTGGTATCTACAAATGTGACTCACTAATATCACATTAATTACTAGTATCTACAAATGAGTTTCCCTAATACCATATTCACTACTGGTAACTACAAATGTGACTCCCTAATACAACATTTATTACTGGTATCTACAAATGTGACTCCCTAATACAATATTTATTATTGGTATCTACAAATGAGACTCACTGATGCCACATTCATTACTGGTATCTACAATTGACACTCACTAATAACACAGTTGGCGTCTGTGGCGTAGGAGTTGCGAAGGCGCTTCGTAATGCCAATGTACCAGATTCGATCCCAGCTGCGGGCCTTGCATTGATTTCGACAGTGGTATCGAGAAGCTTACCACCTAGAAATCAATGGCAAACTACTGGACGTAAATTTGCCTAGAAAAACCACAACAGCCAAAATGCTGGGGTTGGTTCTGATATGCCCTGTAAAGGATACGCAACAACAACAACAAAAAATACCACATTCATTACTGATTTCTACAAATGTGACTCCCTAATACTACATTCATTACTGGTATCTGCAAATATGACTTCCTAATACCATTTACATCCAGCCAACTTATCAGCTCTTTCATTTCCATCGACTCCCTGTGTGGGTATCGGGGTCCTATTGTAGGGGGGGGGGGGGGAGAACAGACCCACTGCCTTCACAAAAGCATGTCGTAAGAGTCAACTTATTGGGAGCTCAAGCCACTGCCTTCGTACCCAACCTGCCTGAAACCCTCCGGATCACACTCACTGAATTAATGAGTATACATGCACGGGTGTAGTTTTGTGTTTCGAGCCACGTGAACGCGTGCGTTATTGCCGTTACCTCCATCGTCATGCTCCTGGTTGTCATGGAGAAGGCGCCGTTGGCTTCTGTAACTGCTCTGCCCGCTGAGCGTGCTGTGAACGCCCATATTGTAGGCGTATAAACGGATCCGCCTGCGTAGATCAGTATATCGGCCTTGTCTGAATTGTTACCGATGACAGCGTTGACCTCTGCATTGACAGCAGCAGGATTCTGCTCCCTGCATTGCCTGTCGAGTGTGACAATACAGGAAAATGTGCATTCGACATGTATAGTTTTCAATTAGCTTTGTCTCACGTTGATGGCGTCTGCTGCATGATAGCATCGACAAAAGATGACATGTACGAGAATGGTTTACATACAGAATTAAGTAAAAGTAAGACGAAGTATTTAATACTTAAATGTTAGGAATACACAAATTAAAAAATACGCACATTCATAATCCTCATCAAATATATATTTATATAATTCCAGTTATAACTCGGAAGAATTGTTTGAACTCACTGCGGGTAGAAATGTAGTAACTTCGTGTAATTGCCAGATTGGTTTTTGATAATTATTTTGCCGAGAATATATCTGTTAAACTCTAATTTATTATTATTAAATTTTAAACTTTTATTTCAATAAATATATGTGTGGGTATCTAAAGCTTTTTCTTAGCTTTCAGCAAATTATATATTTTTTTCAAATAGTAGAATGAAATACAAGATTTGATTTTAATCATTTTAAAGTAGTTATACAGTATATATCCGCAGGTACCTAGAAGAGAAAGAAAAATGTCCCATTTATATATAAATTGCTATAATTAACAATGTGTAGATATGTATTATATTCATAAATAAAAATCAGAACAATAAGTAAGTTACCAAAACTGAATTTAAATTAATTTCATCGTAACTTGCAACATGCATCTGACATATCCATTGAATCGTCTGCTAGACAGTAACTGCAGTAAAACTGGTCTGTACGTTCATAGCAAAGAATTCAAAATTATGGACACCAGACTGTTTAGTGAGACATCGACAAAACTTGCCGGTAACTGCCTACATTATAGAATAGAACAGTTCAGAAAATTATGTCAGTTAATTTGACTAATACGAGATTTAGAATAAAACCGAATCCTTTTTTTTTAAATGTTGTCCACGCAAGTACTATATAAACCACAATAAAACTTCACTAACATCCCTACATTTTGTAGCGATGCTAGTGACGTTTTATATATTGTGTTTTTAATTATGAAATTATCACAGCTGTATAGAGATTAAAAAATCCAATCCAACATACATCAATGAAGCTTGTAGGTAAATTCTAAGCTGGGATATTAACATTCTATTTGCGACACAACCATAGACATATTGGACTCCGGACAAAAAATGGATTCAGGGCTGTGTTCCAGTAAAATGAAGGGTTGAAATGAATAAAATATGTTTGCATTTTGTGGCAATAACTGATTTGTTTCTTAAAGAATCCCTTAGCGACTATATGTCATTGCAACCAGAGCAGAGAGGCATATCTATATTACCATCTTTGTTATTGTTTCTGGTTTAGTATAGTTTCCAGAAGAGTACTGAGTCTTTTATCTGGCTAAATAGTTCATTCGTTTCTTTATTTCTTTTCACAGCCATAATATTTGATTTAGAAAATGCATGATGGATTTTTTAAATTTTAATTTCATGGTAGCAAGTTTAAATTGGGTTGACTTGCTTTAGATTGTGTTTAGTTGGCAACCAAGGTCAGTTATATAAAACCATATAACCCCATTCATTGTCTTGTCTTGTTTTGTCCACAATTGCCTCACAGCGTAGTGGGGAGTCGCAGTTTTCTATCCTGGGCCAGGTGTGTTGCACGTGTTGTTGTTAGTCCGTGTTGCCTCAGGATCTCTGATATATTGTCTATCCATCATACTCTCGGTCTGCCTCTTGCTCTAGGGCAGTAGTGCTGTTCGTTGTATGCTCGTAGTGGCAGTTGGTCGGTTTGCATTCGCATCAAGTGGCCAAACCACTCTATTTGTTGCTTCTTTATGTATTGCAGGCATGGTGTGGTACATAAAGAAGCAACAAATAGAGTGGTTTGGCCACTTGATGCAAATGCAAACCGACCAACTGCCTCTATGAGCATACAACGAACAGCACTACTGCCCTAGAGCAAGAGGCAGACTGAGAGTACGATGGATAGACAATATATCAGAGATCCTGAGGCAACACGGACTAACAACAACACGTGCAACACAAATTCTGCTATTTTACTGCGGCTCCCAAATCTAATGGTAACACCATTCCCTGATAATAGACACTGACTGAATGTTGAATTAAGAATTGACATCATAGCACTAGAAACACTCCCTTAAGCACTCAGTGCCCATCCTCAGCAGCAAGTGAAGAGTTCCAATCCCAATGGTACCAGTAACTGTCTGACTGTGCATCTGTCTCGCCTCTCCCTTAAGTGTTGAGTGTGAGCCAGATCCCCTGGTAATTCCCGGCAGAGTCATTCTTCTCAAACCATATTAATTTTTGTGTGCCTCCTCCCTGTTCATTCACATCAAAAGGGCCTTTACAACATCTAGCTTGTCAGCCTCAATTCACTACCAAGTGGTGCAGAACCGGCCAGTCTATATCTGTGCTCATTTCCCAACACACCAGCATAGCCTGGAGAAAATATCCAAAGGATAATAACTACATGGCACCTCTGAAATGATGCTTGCTATGCTGTACGGAGCATGCATGTCTCCACCTTTCTCAATATACTCTGTAAGTCAGTTACAATTTCAGTGTGTGTGTGTACAGCAGATTCTCAATCCAGTGGAAGGCTGCAGTGACTGCCTCCATCTCCATTCTCAGACTAGACGTTGTACTATCATATTACTTTACTTTTTACTTAGTCGCTCCTCTTCTACCTTGGGGTGTAGAGGTTTGCCAGAGAGATCGCCAGACGTCTCTATCAGCAGTTTTCTTTCTGGCTTTGTTCCATTCCAGCCCTCTGTCAGTTAGGGACTGTCGGATGTTGTCTTCCCAGCGCACCCTGGGTCGTCCCGGAGGTCTGGTTCCCTGGTTCTTAGCCTCCCATGCCTGTCATGGTGGCCGATTTTCTCCCATTCTGCATACATGTCCAAACCATCGTAACTGTGACTGATCCACTCGGGTTAGTAAGGGCTGGGTATCAAGATCCTGACGTATTGTCTGATTGCGGACTTTGTCCCTTCTTGTCACTTGGACCACCTTTCTCAGGTATCTCATTTCCGAGGCCTGCAGCTGGCCTCTGTGAGCTGTTGTCATTGCCCATGACTCACACCCATAGGTCAGGACTGGTACATAGGTAGAGCGGTAAACAGCCATTTTCGTCCTCTTGCCAATTTCTCTTTTGCTAAGAAACCCTCGGTTTATGGCCTGGAAGAGTCTCCCAGCAGCTGCTTTTCCTGTAGCCAGCTCAGTCTTAATGCCTCCGTTTTGGTCTAGTACAACTCCAAGGTACTTGAACTGGTTAACCTGCTCCAATGCATACTGTCCCATCATGATCTGGTGTTTCTTCTCCTCTCTTGAGATCACCATGGTTTTAGTTTTGGAGATACTGATGGTCATCCCTTTCTTTTCAAGCTCTTCCTTCCAGACAAGTAAGTTGGACTGAAGGTGTGCCTCTGATTTAGCTATCAGGGCCACATCGTCTGCAAAAGCCAGCTCTGATATACAGATTGGTCTCATCGTCCAGTACCCTACAGAGTACTTCTTTGTCTTCTCCTTACAGGTCTTGATGACATCATCCATCATAAGAATGAAGAGGTAAGGTGAGAGAATATCACCTTGTCTAACACCGCTGGCAGTCTTGAAATCTTCTGACTTTTGGTCTGCTGTTCTTACATAATTTCTGCACCTTTTGTAGAAACTCTGTATTGCATGTATTGCACTGATCAGGGGTGCTGGAAAGTTTTTCCCTGCCAAGCAGTCCCAGAGCTTGTTCCAAGGTACCTTGTCAAATGCCTTTTCCAGATCCAAAAAACATAAGTGCATCTCACTCTTATATTCCAGGGCTTTTTCACTCATCTGTCTCATTGTGAAGATAAGGTCTTGAGTACTTTGTACTATCATATGCCAGGCTTTATTGCCCTAAAATAGGTCCATGCTTTTGCTTTGAACCCCTATGCACTTCATCTTCCTCTCAGCACAAATCCATCTGTATAGATAATATAAACTGTGGCTGGTGAATACTGACCCCTTTATTTTTAGACACTTTGTGGTTAGTACCAACATCTTTTTGTCTAGGGAAAAAGTCCTGGACACACATACATATGCCTACTTGCATAAAAACATGATTATTAGTATTGAAATTATAAAATATTTTGACAGAAAAATTGACATTTTTTTTTCAGTTTAAAGGATTGTTTTCCTGTTGTCAGTTTAAATAATCAATTCACAAAAAATATATTGCACTAATATTATAATTATCTTTTAGGGTTTTGACATTTCACAGTTATTTTGAGACAGCTTTGTCATGATGGAAGTGAGCTATTGCCAGACTGGTCATCATCGGTGGAAACTGCTTTTGTTTTGACAGATTCTCTGACAAATAGTCTTTGTGTTGACCCAAAAGAGAAAGCAGAGGTAGGAAAATGTTTGAGTTCAAGGCAAAAAGTAGTATTTTAGCCCTAAATGTAAAGCTGTATGGTTTGTAGATTAATAAACACAGTTTACAACTCTTGACTTACTAGCATTTGATTTCTGCAGTGGGTGATTTTGAAAAGGGCAGTTCTCAAAGCTTGACAGTGGCACGGGAGTCATGCCATTGCAGAGATTGAGCTTTCATCATGTAATATTCACAAACACAGGAGAAATAGATAAATCTGCTGCCACCAACCTGCACCGGAGAGATTGCACAATATGAGAGAATATTAATGTGCTCTTTTTTAATAATAATATAGTAAAGGATGGTTGTAATCTTTTTACATAACAATTTTAGGTGAATGACCTTCACATAAACTAGTTTATAAGAAGAAATGAGTTCACTGGCTCGATTCCTTGCTGTCTTTTTCCTCCAAGATAAAGTGCAAGAAATATGAGAATGTAGGTAGAGTCCGTCACTGCAGCGTTTTGTTTTAATAATTTACTCTTATATGGTTCTGAAGTGTAACCTATTAAATTTGTCGGTGTATTGCCCCTTCAAGAACTCATCTGTATCTACTACCAAGATTTGGCAGGGGTGTGAGATGATAAAAAAGCAGAAGTTCTAGTTTCAATTTTTAGGTATGAGGATGGACTAAGGATAAACAATACATATTATATGAAAGGAAGAAACTGCCATAGTGTAGAGGCTAGCATTTTTACCTGCTCATTGGTCATATGTTTTAATTCCACTCTAGAAGGGGCATTTTTTAAAGAAATTGTCTTGAATTCCCAGATTACCTCAGCCTAAAATTAGTACCCAAAAATATTCTAGGAAGCAATAGGGGGATTCCCATATGTGCTCCGACCCCATCCTCAGCAGCCAGCCCAGAGTTCCAATACAAATGGTGCCAGTCATAGTCTGGTTGTATGTTCGCCTTGCCTTTACTCTGAGTGTGCCGGCAGAATCCTGTGGTCACACACAGGTGCATCATTCTCTCAAGCTCATAATAATCTAGTTTCTCTTCTGACTTCGTTACTTGTTCCCAAAGGGCTCTGACCACATCTGCCTTGTCATGTATCAATTCACCACCCAGCTGTGCAGATCCAGCCAATCTGTCGGCCTGTTCATTCCCCGCCATGCTGCATTGCCTAGAGAAAAGATCCAAAGTCTGCTCACTAGCTGTGACCTTGCAAGTGAAGCTTCCAACTCTGCTCGAAGCAGTCCTTCTTCACCTTTTTCAGCATGCTTTCAGAGTCTGTTACAATTATAACGTGAATGCATCTTGTTCTCTAGCCCTGGAATAAAACATAAGATTCCATATTTCTGTAAGTTTGATTTTGCAGCTGGAGAAACTTGCTGTTGATCTTTGGAACAAGACATCCATTATTAAAAGCAAGGGAAATTTACAAACACATGTGTATGCTAAATGTAAGTTACTTGTTTTAATATATGTTACTTTGTTGTTTTGTGATTCATAAGTAGTAAGAATGTCTAAAATGCAGTGATGATAATTAGAACTGAATTAAAGTAGAGACCTTGTAAAAGAGTTGAATGGAAGTAGATTACTGGGCAAACCTAGAAGAGGGTCATGGGTATGTGTGTATATGTGCGCGAGCATGAGTGAGTGAGTGAGAGAGAGTATGTGTGTGGGTTTGTGAGCATGTCTTTGCATGGTGGGTGGATAAAAAAGAAAGAGTGTGTGGGCGCGCATGCAGGATGGGTGAGATAGTGTGTATGCCTGCTTGTGTGTGTGTACACACATGCAGGGCTTCAGAGATAGAGACCGTTAGTGTGCAGGGTGGGTTAGTGGGCGAGAGAGATATTGTGTGTGTGTACACACATGCAGGGCTTCAGAGATAGAGACCGTTAGTGTGCAGGGTGGGTTAGTGGGTGAGAGAGATATTGTGTGTGTGTACACACATGCAGGGCTTCAGAGATAGAGACCGTTAGTGTACAGGGTGGGTTAGTGGGCGAGAGAGATATTGTGTGTGTGTACACACATGCAGGGCTTCAGAGATAGAGACCGTTAGTGTGCAGGGTGGGTTAGTGGGTGAGAGAGATATTGTGTGTGTGTGTACACACATGCAGGGCTTCAGAGATAGAGACCGTTAGTGTGCAGGGTGGGTTAGTGGGCGAGAGAGATATTGTGTGTGTGTATACACAAGGTGGGTGAGTGAGAGAAAGAGAAATAGTGTATGTGTGTGTGTGTGCACATGAATGCACATTGCCAGTGAATTGGTTCCATCAAAGAATGAGTGCAGCTGGTGGCATTGGTGCTTCCTAGCAGGTGATGGCCACACTCAGTGAGGCAGGTTCAGAAGGTCTCCCAGTTGGAGTATACATGACTTGGATACTGATTATCTACAATCGCTATAGAGAATTACTGAATTTGTACTCTCTTACACTTTCACAGCATGTAAAGTTTACAGTCCTCAGCTTTGAGGGGTGGGGGGGGGGGGGGGGTGGGGTGGGGGGGGGGGGGAAGGGACCAATAGCCTCCCTAACAAGCATGTCATAAAAGATGACTAATTTTGTGTCTTTCCTTCAAAGTTGAGTGTATCTGCTTAAGAGATAAGGAACCAACAGTCTGCATACAAATAAGCCATATCCGTAAAATGGATGTGTACGCAAAACTCAGGTTCTGGAACAAGACTAAACTCTGAAGTGGACGAATATCCAAAACTTTCCATCAGAGTTTATAGATGGTGAACACAAAGAAGAAGATGAAGATTGTCCTCAACAGGATTTTCCACAGTGGAAACAACAGCTAATTTTACCTTCATCTTCAACTGTATTTCTTTGTGTTTTCAATAACCTTTTATTTGTGTTTACACCTAGTGCGACATATATCATTTCAAGTTGTGGCATTCTTCAATGAATCGGTCAGTGAGGATCGGGCACTTAAAAAACAAATACTTGTAAGTCATTTATAAAATAATACAAATCATCATCGTCAGTATCTGTCATCCGCATGTGGGTTCCAGGGCCTCGGTGTGGGGAAAACAAGAATAGACCCACTGCCTACCCGACAAGCATGTGGTAAAAGTCGACTAATTGGGAGCTTTCTTCGAAGTCAGAATACATCTGCCTGAGAGGCAAGGAACCATCAATCGGTCTGCTTGCAGATGAGTCACACCTGTTAAACAAATGTGCACGCTACACACCGTTTATGGAAGAGTCCAGAAGTGGAAGAATAACCATAACTTTCTGCCGGAGTTTACAGCTGGTGAACGTGAAGAAGAAGAAGGGTATGTATCATGTGACATTCTGATAGATGTAAGCGGTCGTGGCTCGTTTTCTCACATGTTCACCATAATTGTGGATGAAGTCTGTGCACTTGTTCTACCCCATCCGTGAGGCTAAGCCATCTATATATTTATCTCTTTTTCGTTCCTTTGCTCTTGTTATTATGAAACTGTCTAGTTGTCACCAAGTTTTTGAGTATATACTTTTTCAAAACATTTCCAAAAATATATTGTCTGTATAGCAAATTTTTCTAATCAGATTACCATTTTTTTTTTCACCTGAGGAGTCCGTCAGGGATGTGTGCTGTCACCGTATTTGTTCAACCTGTACGCCGAAAATATAATGAGAAATGTAAGAGATGATATAAACAAGGAACAATATGATGCCCTAAACATCGGTGGTCATGAAATACCAGAAATTCGTTATGCTGATGATACAGTATTACTATCAACATCACAAAATGGTTTAGAAAACTTATTAACCTCACTCCAAAGAAATAGTGAAAATCATAACTTATTTCTTAACATAGCAAAAAACAAAGATAATGCATACAAACAAAACTGCCATGGAGAAGGAAATATATGTTAATGAGGGAAAGATTGGAAGTGGTGGAAAATTTCGAATATCTTGGGTCACTGGTTACCAACAATGGTGACACAATGAAAGAAATTAAAACGGCGACTATCAATTGCTCTTCAAAGACTAAAACAACTGAATAAATTATGGAATTGTACAGATAGAACTACAAAGGTCAGATTTTTAGAGAGCATGCATCTTTCCCATTGCAACATACGCCTGTGAGACCTGGACACTTACTAAACAAGCGGAACAGCGCATAAATGCATTGGAATATAAATGTTACAGACAGGTTCTAAGAATATCTTGGGTAAAGAAAAGAACAAATGCATCCATACTTCAAGAGCTGAATATTGAAGAGGGTTGGCTAGTAAAGACAATAAAACAAAGAAAATTGAAATATTTTGGTCACTTGAAACGTCATGGAAGTCTAGAGAGAACAATAATGGAGGGGTATATGCCTGGGAAGAGAGGAAGAGGAAGGCCAAGGAGAAGATGGGTGCAGGATGTGGCAGATGATCTCCAGATGGGTGTATCAGACGCAGGACATCTTGCTCAGGATAGGAAGGTTTTCCGGAGGGTTGTTACGGCAGCGAGGTTCCGCGAGGGACATGCTACTGAATGAATGAATGAATGAGTATTATTGATAAAAATTTTTCACATGAGTATTATTGATAAAAATTCTTTATGTTAGTGAACTGTGTCTGTTGAAATAATCATTATATTGTATAAAATTTACTAATATGAACAAATATTATCCGATTATTTTGATTACTGTTGAATTTAGCTAGTACATAGTTGTTTTAGAACAATTATATCATTTTGTGGTGAATTACTTTTATGTTCAAATGTAGTTCATTAAAAATTTTAAGTGAATTATTTTTTTATTTATATGTAGTTCATTTTAAATTTTCAACCATAAAATAAGTAATAGGTTGCTTTTCCTGCCTTTGGCGCATTTGACGTCTAGTTTTAGACCTGCATTTTTATGGAGCAGTTGGCACATATTGGGTTATATACTGGTCGTTGTTACACTGGCTGCCTTTACTTCTCAGGGCATTACCTGGTACCCATTTTAGTTTGGATCAACTTGGAAGCCTTAGTTAATAATAGAAAAATATACTTTTATGAGCAAAATAATTATTTCAGTAAGGGAATTAATCATTTAATGCAAACGATGCTAAGAATTAACTGCATTCCTTCCCTTTGACCATAATAAACATGGTTTGGTTGACTTTGTGGAGCAAAGCGACATCATTATGAGATTATCATGACCTAAGAGGATGTCAGTGTTTTTAAGTGTGTGATTTTTTTCCCACCCCAGATAATATGTGACTTTTTGTTGTTGTTGGAATAAATCATACCAGGATGTCAACACATGGCGATATCAGGGTTTGTGACATGCTTGTTAAGGGACAGTAGGTCCCCCCACCCCCTCCTGCATCCCTGTATGGGTCTCAGAACCAACCTGGGGATTTAAAATAATGAAATGTTAACCATTTCCCATTAGTGCATAATTAGGCTATGTTCATTTTCCTTTACATAGATGGGGCTTAAGGCTACAAGAGGTTGGATTGGTAAGTACAAAACTATATGGAAGTTTGTTTATTTTGTGTAAAAATGGTCATAATAAATATTTTAACTGAATGTGGTTGTTTGGAAAGGGTGGGTGGGGGGGGGGGGGGGGGGGGGGGGGGGGGGGGGGGAGAGATAAGGAATCTTTAGCCACTCATCTCTTCTCTAGGAAAGTTTGCTTCTTTATTTAGCATTTGTGAGGGGAAAATGAATGAATGCATGAGCAAACAAAGGATCACAAATTGGGTGTGCAGGCCTGTCATACAATAGCATTTTCCAAACACTTATCTTTTACACAGCAGTTGTATTTTATCAATAAAGTGTGTTATGTTTATATAACAAGATATGTCATGTATATCAAGAAAAAAAAAAAAGAAAAAAACACAAAAGAATGGATGGTAAATGCATGTGCACACACATTCACTCACTTACACACATTTCATACACACACATATATATATACATAAATGCATACATACACACACATGCATGCATACATACACACACTTGTGAAAATGTGACCTTTAGCGTCTCATTATACTGTAGGAGAAAGATTGATTCCTTAGCATCTGTGAAAGAACATTTTAATTGTTAGCTTCTCATTATATCAGGAGAATGATTCTGTGGGAAAATTGATCTTTAAGCTTCTTAGTATATTGTGGGAAAAGATTGATTCTTTAGTACCTACGATGGAGAATTTATTTCTCTAGATACTCAGTATATTGTGGGAAAAGATTGATTCTTTAGTACCTACGATGGAGAATTTATTTCTCTAGATACTCAGTATATTGTGGGAAAAGATTGATTCTTTAGTACCCACGATGGAGAATTTATTTCTCTAGATACTCAGTATATTGTGGGAAAAGATTGATTCTTTAGTACCTACGATGGAGAATTTATTTCTCTAGATACTCAGTATATTGTGGGAAAAGATTGATTCTTTAGTACCCACGATGGAGAATTTATTTCTCTAGATACTCAGTATATTGTGGGAAAGATTGATTCTTTAGTAGTACCTACGATGGGTGAGAATTTATTTCTCTAGATACTCAGTATATTGTGGGAAAAGATTGATTCTTTAGTACCCACGATGGAGAATTTATTTCTCTAGATACTCAGTATATTGTGGGAAAAGATTGATTCTTTAGCATCTGTGAGAAAAAAATTATATCCTTCAGTTTCTCAGTATATTGTCCGAAAAAGATTGATTCTTTAGACTGAATGTTTTCTTGGGAAGGATTTGTCTCTCCTGTTAGAGTTTTTTTAGGAACAGATAAATCTTCTTTTTCTTCTTCTTCACTTCCTCTTTTACCGCTGTGGGTGTCGAGGGAGATATAAGGTTCTGTTTCTAGCTCTTCTGGCTGCCTCGACCATAGGCACATCGTGCTGTTGTAGAGTTTCTCTGATGTTATCCTTCCATCTTGTTCTTGGTCTACCCCGTGCTCTACGTCCTTCTTCTCTTTCCATGTATGCTTTGTATGGTATGGTGTCACAAGGCATTCTCTCTAAGTGGGCAAACCATTTCACTTGCTGTCTTTGTATGTAATCCAGAATTGGTTCTGTGCTGACTTGTTCTCTTATGATCTCATTCCTGATCTTATCTCTTATGGTCACTCCTACACACCCTTCTCAGACATCTCATTTCCGTGGTTACTAATTTTCTGTTATGGTTTGTTGTGAGTGACCATGTCTGGCACTGGTTAGCACAGAGTTGGAATAAAATATGCTTTGAATAAAGATGTCCTCTTTGTGCTGATTGGGATTGTCTTATGCTGTAAGAGGGGGGCTAGCTGTCCCAATACTTGGTTTGCTTTACTGCATCTAATGTCAATTTCTTTATCCAATTTCCCATCTTCGGTAAATGTTGTTCCCAGATATTTAAACTCAGATGCCTGTTTAATGTCTTTGTATTCTATTGCTATGTTAGATCTGTCTTCTTTTTTCCTATTGGACATTACTTCTGTCTTTTCAGTGTTGATTCTCATATTATTTGTTTTACATTCTTCATTCATGGATGTTAGATGTTGTTGCAATTTCATGGCTGTATCTGCTATCAAGGCCTGGTCATCTGCAAAGAGTAATTCGTTGATCTTACTACGATCTTCATTCATGGGCTTGGCTTTCTTGCATATACTGTCGATGTAGGTGATAAACAGCAGTGGTGATAAGACACACCCCTGTCTTACTCCAGATGTCACTGTGAAAGGATGAGATGTTCCCTGATTTATTCTAACTACACTTCTACAATCCCTGTATAAAATTTACAGATAAATGCTTTCTCTTTATTAATGGGGGGAGATTGATCATATTTCTTCTCATTGTTTTATGGAAATAGAGCTATCCTTTTAGTTGGACAGATTAAATATTTATCTTCTTGTTCATAATTTTGATGAAGAATAATAGATCATTTGGCTTTTCAGTAAGTCAAGGACCGCCTTTTGCATTGGGCAGATAATGCAGACTTATTTTGTTTTTGTTTTTTTGTAAGATCAATTGGCACTTGATGTGCGTGTTGTGGTCACCATCATACTGGCTGCCTTTACTTTCTAAGACACTGCCTAGTACCCGTTTTATCCTGGATCAATCTGGGAGATAACTCCAGTTTATTTTCCAAATCCGCTTGGTGCAGATTTGAACCCAAGACCTTCTGGCAGGCAGATGGGCATCTAGCTACCTTCTCTGGTTGTTAGCTGAAAAAGCAGTTAACAGCTGCTGTTCTTCCCCTGATTTGTGGGATTGTTATAATGACTATACACTTCAAGTTGTTTCAATGTCTCTGTGTACACTTTTCATGCACATATAATTGCATTTTTTGATCACACTTTTGTTTTACAGATTATAAAGAGGTTGAATTTGCAGATAAAGTGCTCAACATCTTAAATAGGGTATGATTGTAACATGTTGATTGATATTGGTTGATGCCTGAAAACTCCTTTACTAACAGTTAGTACTGGTTAGAGTTACTGTAAATGAAAAACAGCTATTAATTATTCTTTTTTTTTTTTTTTATATTTGTACTGACTCATATAAATATTGTTACTGGCTCATATAAATATTGTTACTGGCTCATATAAATATTGTTACTGACTCATATAAATATTCTTACTAAATCATATAAGTATTCTAACTGACTTGTTTTTACATTGCCTACAACAGCAACAGCAGTTTACTTGTGTATCCTTTATTGGGCATTGTAGAACATGTTTTGGCTGTTTGTGGCTTTATTAGACAATTTTATTGTCAGTAGCCATGCTTCATACCTTTAATGAAATCAGTGCATCCCATATGGGTTCTGGGTTCCTGTTGTAGGGTTTAAAAAGAAATAGATATATCAACCCCCCCCCCCCCCCCCCCCCCCCCCCCCCCCCCCTTTTAGACCGATCAATGATGTCTGTTGTCAACATTGCATAGGCTATCTTTGCACACCCCTTCCCCCTTTCTCCTAATATATCCTGGTACCCCTTTTAGGCTGGGTCGACTTGGGAGCTCAAATCTTTTTTGTTTTCATCATCTACCTGTTTGTGAATTCAGCTCAAGACCTTCAGGCTCGCAGTCAAGTTGTGATCTTATTTTTCTTTTAAATGTATTGAGTAAACTTTGTACTGTTGTTGTTTTTGTTAAAGTTTGCTGATGATATAGAGGCTTATTAGAAATTTCTAACAGTTATTTTCATATCTCTTAGTGAAATTTACTGGATATCATAGTCAAATAGGGTTTGATCCCAGCTGCGGGCCATGCGCTTTGCATTGGTTTCAACAGTGGTATCAGGGGGCTGACTGCTCAGAAAGCAATGGCAAACTACTGGATGTAAATTTGCCTAGAGAAACCACACATCAGCCAGGGGCTGCTGGAGTTGGTTCTGCAACGTCCTGTAAAGGATACGCAACTAACCTAACCATAGTCAAATAAGGTGGGGGTTGTTAATAAAAAATTTCTTTTAATAACTTGCAAATTTCATTACATATTTTCCCTGTGTGTGTTCCGGGACCCCATTGTTGGAAAACAAAAATAGACCCATTGCCTCCCCAATAAGCATATCGTAAGAGTCAACAAATTTGGGGCTTCCTTCAAAGTTGGAATGCATTTGCCTAAGCGGCAAGGAACAACCAGCTGCACACAGATAATCCTGTAAAATTGATGTACTTGCAAAACTCAGGCCCTGGCACAAAGCCAAAGTCCAAATGGACGGACAACCAGGACTTTCCACTGGAGCTTACAGCCAGTGAACACAGAAGATAAAGAAGATGATATGTATTTAACTTTAGAGTAAAGGTGTTTGAAGTTTGCTTCTAGCAAAAATTAGTAGCATGTGTTTTTTTTCCCCTCCTTAATAGACTTTGCAGAGACTGCAATTACTCTTTGATGAACAGAAGAACACAACAGTTATGCCCCATGTTTTACAGAATGAGAAAGCAGAACTTGATCTAAACTTGTTCCGTGTTTTGTGCTTGAAAGCTGAAGTGGTAATTTAGATTGCAGTTGTTGTTTACAGAAGTTGTGCTATAAAACTATTTTAAATCAGTTAAACATAGAAGGTTTGTTTAGTTTTTAGTTGAGGAATATATTGAAAACAAACTGCATGATTTGAACATTTTGTGTGAATAAAGCTCAGTTGACTAAGTTTTCTGTTGACAGTCAGAAGTTTTGCTCATAGAGCTAAAAAGTTGAAATCATCATCATTATCCTGTTGTGCGGCATAATAAATCACATAGGGCTCCCAATCTGTTCTGTCCTGTGCAGTCTCTTCAATATCATGGGTGGAATCCAATCCTACACTTTTATCCTCTCTCATCAACGTTCATTTTAAGGTGTTTTTTTTGTTGGTGGGGAGGGAAAAACTTCCTCTCTTCTTCTCACTTTCCTTATTTCACAGGTTAGTGCCTGTTTGTTTATTCTCTGCTTGTTTCTTCTTGAATGTGACTGTTTATTCTCTGCTCGTTTCTTCTTGAATGTGACTGTTTATTCTCTGCTCTGTTTCTTCTTGAATGTGACTGTTTATTCTTTGCTCGTTTCTTCTTAAATGTGACTGTTTATTCTCTACTCGTTTCTTCTTGAATGTGACCAATATAGCGCAATATTGCTTTTTTTTTTTTTTTTCTAACTGTTGCCCAGTGGTTGCCCAGACATTTCTCTCATGTCTTTACCGCTCAATCCAATTTTATGTTCACAAGTTTTCTCAGGCGTTTATTGACAATAAAGAAAGTTGAGGTAGAGGATCCTTTTTCATGCATTTTAGGCATACTGGGCATGAGGTCCTCAAGTTTTAAAGACCTCTTGATGTAGTCAGAACTAGGCTGGCCACCTGTACTTTCCAAAACCTTTCCTGGAACTATTTTAGGCTGGGCCAACATGAAAGCCCAGGTTAGTTTTGTTTTAAAATGTCCATAAGGTGGGGATTCAAACATGTGACTTTCATGCTGGCAGGCAAGTGGCCTAGCCTTTGAACTAAAGCTTAAGCATCACAAGTTATAAGATAAATAGATCATATTATGTCACTCTCGTTATTGTCACATTTTGGCAGTCTGACATAAAATCTTCTGAGACTGACAGTGGTGATAGATTAAACTTAGTCTTCCAAAGGACACACCAATCAAGGTATTTCTACTACTAATAGCATTCCAGCAGAAATTTCTGGTTGTTCATCCACTTCAGGACTTTAGGTCTTGTTCCAGATGCATGTGTATCCATTTGACAGATTTGGCTTTTTTTATGTAGACTGTTGGTTCCTCACCTCTCAGGCAGATGCACTCTCTCGAAGGAAACAACCCTAATTCATCTCACGACATGTTTTTTAGGGGTCAGCGAGTCTATTCTTTTTTCCCTACAATGGGGTCCTGGAAAACACACAGGGAAATCAGGATACTGTTAATGTTAGTGTACATTCTGTATGTCATTAACATTTAGGTATACGAAGAGTACATTTTGTATGTCATTAACATTCAGATATACAAAGAGTACATTCTGTATGTCATTAACATTTAGGTATACGAAGAGTACATTTTGTATGTCATTAACATTCAGAGATACAAAGAGTACATTCTGTATGTCATTAACATTTAGAGATACAAAGAGTACATTCTGTATGTCATTAACATTTAGAGATACAAAGAGTACATTCTGTATGTCATTAACATTTAGAGATACAAAGAGTACATTTTGTATGTCATTAACATTTAGATATACAAAGAGTACATTTTGTATGTCATTAACATTCAGATATACGAAGAGTACATTTTGTATGTCATTAACATTCAGAGATACAAAGAGTACATTCTGTATGTCATTAACATTCAGAGATACTAAGAGTACATTTTGTATGTCATTAACATTCAGAGATACAAAGAGTACATTCTGTATGTCATTAACATTTAGAGATACAAAGAGTACATTCTGTATGTCATTAACATTCAGAGATACCAAGAGTACATTCTGTATATCATTAACATTCCGAGATACAAATAGTACATTCTGTATATCATTAATATTTAGAGAAACGAAGAGTACATTATGTATATCATTATCATTAAGATACGGACCACTGAACGAACTAACAGTGACAGTGAAATTTATACAAGAGACAAAATTGCTGATATAGACAACTTATTTCAGGCTAATGAAAGAAGAAGATGATTATCATTTAGAGATACGAAGAGTACATTTTGTTTTCTGTATTTGCTGTAAGAGATTTTGCCAGTCCCTGTATGATGAGGCAATATCAGCTGTTACCAGAGCTAAGGAGATGCTGTCTAAGTTTCCAAATGAGGTAAGAACTAGTTAGCACTAGCATCCTTCTTGTCACTTTTCCTTTTATGTCCTACATTATACACAGCCAAAAATGGGTTCCAGATAAAGTACTGGGAAGTAAAGGCAGCTGATATGATGTTGATCACATCATCCATCAAGAGCTAATGTGTTGACAAATGTAATAATCTAGCAATGCATGCTCATGTGCAGCTAGTGGGAAAAGGGTAATTTACTTGCTTATTTACTGATATTGTACGGTTAGCCAGAAATGAGCCTTTGTTTAGGGTGCCTAGAAAAAAGTTATTTATTGCTTCTGTTATTTCATGTGCTTAGAAGGTCTGACTGTTGCTCCATTTCCACTGTATTTAAATGATTGTGTTGCTCACATTATACTGTTTGTTATGTGACTGAACTAGTGACTACTCTATGACTACTTTTAGGTCTTTGATGTGAGAAGCCTTACTTTCCTCTTTAAATCAGGCAGTAAATCTTCTTCTTTTTCGTTCACTTGAAATAGATTATCTATATCTGCAATGTTTTTCTTTAGTATGAACCTCACTGTCTTTTGTAATTTACTCAGCGACCTATAAAGTTTGATTTGCACTGATGTTTCGCTTCTGATATGTTTTACTTGGGACAGTAGGCAGTAAATTATAAAGTCACGCATCCAAAGATTGATTGGTTTGTCCCCTCATGGTTGCTAACTAAAGGTTTACAAAACCATCCTGATTAAAAAATCTCAATTTGGAAGACAGACCGTCAAGGCAGATCATGGATACCCAGTTCAAGAGGTCATAATCAGGGCACGCATATCAGCTTCACAAGCCAGATATTACCTGCCGTTCTGTTTGGGTCAGAATAATCATCATCATCATCATCATCATGTAGCAGGTCCTTTGCAGAATGACTCTCTCATCACGGTCTGCCTGAAAGAAACTTGGTCTTTCGCCAGCTCTCCCGCCTCATGCACTTTCATACTTAAGGAGTCACTTATATCCTGTGCCCATCTTCGTGTTGGTCGGCCCCTGCCCCTCCTTCCTAGTACCATGCCTTCTGTTATAATTTTTTTCCAATCCGTTGTGGCGCTTGATATGACCAAAATATTTCAACTTCTGAGACAGGATGCTGTTTATTAGCCAATCAAACCATCCAAAATAATCACAAAGTTTTCAATTTGTCAGAATAGAAAAGAACTATCAACAACTGTTTTTTCTTGACTAGACTGCATACCTAACGATGCTGTGCTACAATTTTGGAGTTGATTGCTACCAAGCGAAGGATTTCGACCATGGTGTTACATGGCTGAGAGAGAGTTATACTTTAGGCAAGGACAGTTCTGATATCAGTCACAAAACACAGGTAATTACAAACAGACGTGAATACACAATTATCTCTTGTAAAGTTTCTTCTGCTACCTTTAACTCATTCAGTATTCAGCAACTCACAGTACATTTGTTGCTATCAACTGACATGATATCTTTTTTCTTTTTACAAAACACTTTGTGACCCACCCTATTGCTAAACTAGCCCACCTTGTTAGAATTCTTACTTAAACCCTTCTGTGGTATTATATAGTTTTGCTTCACAGACCTCCATCTTTATTACTTAAGAATTTCCTAGAATAGAAGAGTTAAAATAACATCTGCTTGGTATCAAAAGAGTTCAACTCCCAGTGCAGTATAGGTCCTTAGCAGACTCATGACTTAGCAGACTCATGACTTAGCAGACTCATGACTTAGCAGACTCAGGACTTAGCAAACTCATGACTTAGCATACACATGACTTAGCAGACTCATGACTTAGCAGACTAATGACTTAGCAGATTCATGACTTAGCAGACTCATGACTTAGCGGACTCATGACTTAGTGGACTCATGACTTAGCAGACTCATGACTTGGCGGACTCATGACTTAGCAGACTCATGGCATAGTGGACTAATGACTTAGCAGACTCATGACTTAGCAGACTAATGACTTAGCAGACTCATGACTTAGCAGACTCATGACTTAGCAGACTCATGACTTAGCAGACTCATGATTTAGCAGACTCATGATTTAGCCGACTCATGACTTAGCCGACTCATGACTTTGCAGACTCATGACTTAGCAGACTAATGACTAAGCAGACTCATGACTTTGCAGACTCATGACTTAGCCGACTCATGACTTTGCAGACTCATGACTTTGCATAGTGGACTCATGACTTAGTGGACTCATGACTTAGCAGACTCATGACTTAGCTGGTGACTTTGCAAACTCATGACTTTGCAGACTCATGACTTAGCAGACTCATGACTTTGCAGACTCATGACTTAGCAGACTCATGACTTTGCAGACAGACTCAGACTCATGACTTAGCGGACTCATGACTTTGCAGACTCATGACTTAGCAGACTCATGACTTTGCAGACTCATGACTTAGCAGACTCATGACTTTGCAGACTCATGACTTAGCAGACTCATGACTTTGCAGACTCTTGACTTAGCAGACTCATGACTTAGCAGACTCATGACTTAGCGGACTCATGCCAGTATTTTTTGTAAGTGTGATGTAAGGTGACAGTATGTTTAAAGAAAGCAGACAGTTTTAAACCATACAGAGAATTATAAAAATTTGTTAGTACACTTATCTGCCATGACGGTCTGGATTCACTCCACAGCAGTGGAAGGATTCTTTTTTCTAACCAGTATTGCTCTGGTCAACTCAGGATCATAAAGTGGGTATCAGACTATTGTCAGAATGTTCTAGAAATTGTCTTGGAAGGACAAGCAGTGAGGTAGAATGGAGCTGGCCACCTCACCTTGAATTTAATGACCTAGAGCAGTGGTTCCCAAATAGCTAAGACCTGTAGACCCCCCCCCCCCCCCCCCCCCCCCCCCCCCCCTCCTTTCCGTTTTTTTTTTTTTTAGGTCTGCCATGGACTACATACATTTTAATAGTCATATAGAAAAACTTATTACAATTTATAAACATTAGAATCACCAACAACTACACACACACAAATTTGCATTTGAATCTTTTGCCTCAAAAAGCCGAAAAACTAACACTTCCGATTGAGTCCAGGTCCCAGTAAATGTCACTTTCCCAACTTGCCTATAGTGACCTGTGTATGAGATGCTATTGGCCAAGCATGCACCTGCATACCTGTTTAGGAGGACAGAATACGAATACATTAACTAACAATAGCATTTACAGGGGTTTTCCTTTGAGCTAAATGGCTTTTTTTTTTAAAGCCAAGTTGACATCAGATTTTCTTATAAGGCTCAGTGATAGAGGCGATGGGATCACGGCATGAGTCACTCGATACACATGTATTTCTTTGGGCCCGCAGAAATATTTAATTTAATGCTTCACCCTGTAAGTGTTTATTGAATACTTTTTTCATGAATATAAAATGTAGAAAAAAGTATTTTTTTAACGAATTTGTTAGTAACCCATGTAAAATATTTTAGTTATTTTTAAGAATTTTTTTCTGAAATTACAACAGGGTCATGACCTTTTTTCTTATTTTAGTATTTTTGTGGCAAAAGGTTAAAGTTGAGGATTTTTTTTGTTTTTTTATTGTTAGTGTTTTGCAGATGATATCACAAACCCCTTAAGTTTGTTTTATGGACCCTGAGAGTCCAGAGACCACTAAATGGGACATGCTGGGGCCCAGTATATGTAAAGGTACAACACTTCACATCCCAGTAACTGCTGCATGGCTACATGACTACTTTCAGTTAGATTTGTTTTAGCATGACTGTTTGACCTGATACTACACACTACTGTCTATGTAACCACAGGCTCGCACTCTACGCCTACTGGCAAACTGTTACATGGAGTGGGAGTGTGATGGTTGGCAGGAGAATGCCCTCAATGCCGTTTCACTTTCTATTAAAGTAAGTCTTATCATATGTGTGCTCATCTTCTTGTAAGTTATTATGAATTAAAGATTGAAAATAATATTCTATCTTAACCTGGGAGAAAAAAAAACGCCAGCACTTTACCAAGTAAGACTCAACCAACCAGGAGGATTTTCTACTGTTAGTCCTCGACCTGGTCTCTGTGGTGAGCTGGGGCACAGTCTGAATTGCTTTTCAAGACCCTCACTGCATCAATTTTATATAAATTTAAAAAATTTAGCTCCTCCCCTTTTCTGTAACAAACTCTTTTCTTTAGGATATGTTTTTAGCTCCACACTTGACATACCTTCATGCTACAGGAGTCTTCATTGTGGCTGTCACTCAGATACTGCGTGTCCACCTTCTGGTCAAACTTTCAGACATTCTCTAGGAACAATCTGGTTTTTTCCTTGATCCATTAATGGGGGTGAAAAACCAGCTGTGTGGTTTTCACTGGAGCTACCATGTGTGAACTTGCCTTCTTGCAGGCTTATTCCCTTTGTATGTGAAGGTCAGAAGGGCAAAACAGACTTTTGTTAACTAGGATTTTAACACTTCCACTGTTTTTTCAAATGGACAGGTGGGCAATATTAGGCCATGCTTGTTTCTTTGTCTGGTCTTCTTCTTCTTTTTCTTTTTCTTCTTCTTCTTCTTCTTCTTCATCTTCTTCTTCTTCTTCTTCTTCTTCTTCTTCTTCTTCTTCTTCTTCTTCTTCTTCTTCTTCTTCTTCTTCTTCTTCTTCTTCTTCTTCTTCTTCTTCTTCTTTGCATTCACCGGCTGTAAACTCCAGCAGAAAGTTCTGGTTGTTCATCCACTTCTGGACTTGAATCCTGTTCCAGAAACTGAGTGTTGTGTGCACATCTATTTTACAGGTTTGACTCATTAATTTAAGGAATTTTTATCACTAATTGTTTCTGTAATTTGGGCCTGGTGTATAGTAAATATAATATCGTTCTTTATTGAAGAAATAATTTATTAAACATAGTGCATTCTGACATCAGTGCGGTGGTTTTATGATAAGAACCTGCAGAACATATTTGAGTTAGAAACAAGAAAAGAAACTAAAGTACTACACATAGAGAGACTTGCCCTGTTTGGTGGCTTGTGTGGATTCTCTGCCCAGGATATACTGTTGTGCAGGGCAATGAAAATGCTGACAGATTAGCTGATGCATTTCCTCTTGATAGTGAGCTACCATATGATAAGGCATAGTGGTAAAGACTTTCTGGGACCAAGTGGATGAAGCAGCAGAGAAAGATTATGCATGCCTGGTCAGACTGATTGGTTGTGCAGTGAGTAAAGGGCGGAGACTGATTGGTTGTGAAGTGAGTAAAGGGTGAAGACTGATTGGTTATGAAGTGAGTAAAGGGTGAAGACTGATTGGTTGTGAAGTGAGTAAAGGGCGAAGACTGATTAGTTGTGAAGTGAGTAAAGGGTGAAGACTGATTGGTTGTGAAGTGAGTTAAGGGCGGAGACTGATTGGTTGTGAAGTGAGTAAAGGGCGGAGACTGATTGGTTGTGAAGTGAGTAAAGGGCGGAGACTGATTGGTTGTGAAGTGAGTAAAGGGCGGAGACTGATTTGTTGTGAAGTGAGTTAAGGGCGAAGACTGATTTGTTGTGAAGTGAGTTAAGGGCGAAGACTGATTTAGCAGGAAGTGAGCAGAGAGTCTGCATGACAATTAACAAGTAAGAGAAAATACAAGCCACTTTTGATTAGGTTGCCACTTTCATCATCAGTTTGGGAATTTTGTTGACTATTCGTGAAGAAAGACTACATTTGAAATGTCCCATGTGCAATGTTGTCGTTCATTCATTCATTCGTTCATTCATTCATTCATCCATCCATCCATCCATCCATCCATCTATCCTTGTGAAGGTGTCTAATGTAAAATTATCTAAATTTTAACTTGTGCAGTGTTGTCACCTTTTCATCCATCCACCCATCCATCCATCCTTCCATCCCTATGAAGGTGTCTGAAGTAAAATTATCTAAATTTTAACTTGTGGAGTGTTGTCACCCATTCATTCATTCATTCTTTCATCCACCCATCCATCCATCCACCCACCCATTCATTCATTCATTCATTCATTCATTCATTCATTCATTCATTCATTCATTCATTCATTCATTCATTCATTCATTCATTCATTCATTCATTCATTCATACATACATCCCTATGACAATTTCACAACAATCTACATTTATAACTTGATATTTCAGGAGCATGCTCACTCCGCTGGTGTTTATTTGAGACTTCAGCTGGTCCTCATGACTAAACAGACCGCCTCATGCATCAAACAAGGTAGAATTAGAACAAGCCAGAATGTTTATGGAAATTTTAATGAGGGAACTTCTAGCAATGTCTAGGGCAGCAAAAAGTTTCAGATTCTTAAAGAGCTGTAGTAGCACAGTATTAGTGCTGAAACCAGTCACAGAGTATCAAAGAGCAGCAGAGCAGTTGGTTTGGTCATCTGATGAGAATGTCACGGTAACAGCTGCCACAGAGAGCCACACTAAAGAAATATAATAGACACAGAACAAGGGGGCGACCACACAGGATATGGAAAAGGGGCATCAAGAATGATCTTGAAGAAATGAACATCAAATTAATCAATCTATCTTTGAAGTCAAAGTGCATTTGCCAGATTTGTAAAATGGATGTGCATGCACCACTCGGGTTCTGAAATAGGATTAGAGTCCAGGAGGGGACTGACAACCCAACTTTCCACTGGAGTTTATAGCCAGTGAATGCGAAGAAGAAGAAATTAGTTCTCCCCCCTCCCCCCGTGGAGAAAAGAAAGAAGATAAGGAAGTACACCGGCTAGATGTTTGCCTGCCAGCTGATGATGTTGTTGAGGTCAAATCTGCATCAAGACATTTTGTAATTGACACAGGCTCCCAGGCATACCTAGCATAAATTGGGTACTAGGAGATGTTTTGCCTCTCTGTAGATGTGAAGTTCTGATGCCAGTCCTGCCCACCCTACTGCCTTCAGAGTTTGGAGAAGGGAAGGTGAGCTCTGCAACACAGTTCCCATTGCCCTGGTTACTTTGGGTGTTGGTTTTGAAGGGTAGTCCCTTCATCAACCTCTCTAAAAGATGTAAATCTTTTTATTTTTGGAGTGTACACTCTGAATGTCTTTTCTTCAGACTGTGTTTCCAGAGGGTTTTCTGCCATCTCCACAGTGAGCTGTATCCACTGTTGTTTTTTGGGAATATTACAGTGTGATGCCGCAGTTACTTCCGTGGTGCAACTGTCATTCCACTATTAAAAAACCACGAGAACAGTCTTTACTTAACCACCCTTCACAGAAATCATATGTTGAATGTTGAATTAAGAATCAACATCTCAGCACTCGGGACACCCCCATAAGCGCTCTGTCCCTATCTTCAGTAGCAAGTGATGAGTTCCGATTTCTGTGGTACCAGTAACTGTCTAATTATATATCTGTCTTGCCCTTTTCTCAAGTGTTGAGCGTCGAACAGATGCCCTGGTAACTTCCCGTCGCACTATTATTCTCAGACCTAATGATGTGTTTGTGATTCCGCACTGCTCACTCGCTCCCAGAGGGCACTCACATCCTCTAGCTTGTCATACATCAGTTTACTACCAGGTGGTGCAGAACCGACCAGTCTATCTCTGCTCATTTTCCTACACACTGGCATGACCTGGAGAAAAATCTAAAGGATGCTTACTACCCGACACCTCTGAAGTGATGCTTGCCACTCTGCACATGTCTGTCTCCACCTTTCTTAACATGGCTCTCTGAGTCAGTTACAATTCACAGAAATCAAACCCTAATAAATGGAGGGTATGATTGTGAATCTAATCTCTAAGCCATGGAGACACCCCAGAGGATCTACTAACTAACAAATATGTTTTTCTTCTCCTTCTTTTTAACATTCACTGGCTGTAAACCCCTGTGGAAAGTTCCGGTTGTTCATCCATTTCTAGACCTTGTTCCAGAACTTGAGTTTTGCATGCACATCTGTTTTACAGATATGGCTTATTTTTTTTAGACTGTTGGTTCCTCACCTCTCAGGTAGATGTACTCTAACTTCTAAGGAAGTTTCCCTGATTAGTCGCCCTATGTACATGTTTATTAGGAAGGCAGTGGGTCTATCCTTTTTTTTCTCCCCAAAATGAGACTTAAGAACCCACATGGGTTAACTAACAAAGTTAGCGGTAGGAGAAGAAAAGATCATTGCTTTTCTACACACTTATGCATTCATTCGAGCACACTCAGATGAAACAAATAAAATGTTTGGTCATTGTGATTTGTGACTACATTATAAATTATATTGGTCAAGAAGGGAAGCAATAACACTTTCTTCTTCAAGAATGCCAAGCACTTACCTGATGCTTGAATCTGACAATGATGTTAGATAGTAAACCATGACGGCCGTCATTTATCAGAAAGGCACATGATGATGATTATAAGCAGGTTTTTTTTTTCTAGGAAATAAAAAAAGGTGCCCAAACTCACCACATGGTGTTTGTTATAGTAGTGCTGAACGAAAGGATCGCTTAGAAAAAGTGCCGGTATTGCACTTCGTTGTGTATTGCCAGAAAAAAAGCCCTGATTAGAAGTTACTTATTTGTCAGTAATATTTTAGTGCTGGTTTCATTATCATTTTCAGCAGTGGATGACTTACTTCATCACCAAGACTGCAGTATAGGCCTAACTTTAAATGCAATACAGCTCTTCAAAAGGCATCAAAGGTGAATTATTTTTTTAATGGTTACTTCATACATGAACTACAATCTGACATAACTTGGATACTTCTTTTTCTGTAAATCCTGGTGGAAAGTTCTTGTTGCTCATCCACGTCTGGACATTTTTTTTGTTCCAAAACTTAAATTTTGTGTTCACATCCATTTGACAGAACTAACTCAGTTGTATGCAGACTGTTGGTTCCTCGGCTCTCAGGCTGGTACACTCCGACTTTGACAGAAACACCCCTAATTAGTTGCCTCTTACAACATGGTTGCTTAATGGGTGGGGATGTGAGGAGGGGGAGGGGAAGGTAGTAGATCCCCCCCCCCCCCCCCAAATCCCTCATTCATTAATGTTGAACCCACATGGGGGAAAGGATATCAGAAAAAAGCAGCTGGTATTATATTTACCACATCACTCTCTGAGAGCCACTATATCTCTGAAAACTGTAAAGTTAGCATATGCACTAACCATTAAGTCACCACTTATAATTCTGTTTTCCAGTTGATTTTTGTAATGGTTTTATTTTAAATATCAAGCAGGAAAAAGAAAAAAAAGTCCAAAGCTTATTGTTTAAATTTCTTGGTTTGTTATCCAGTCTAGAGCTTGATACTGTTTAAATTACTTGTATTGTCATCTAGTCCAGAGCTGTTGTTCAAATTAATTGTTTTATCATTCAATCCAGAGCTTATTGTTCAAATTACCGGTTTTGTCATGCAGTCCAGAGCTTATTGTTCAAATTACTTGTTTTGTCATCCGGTCCAGAGCTGTTGTTTAAATAACTTGTTTTGTTAACCAGTCCAGAACTGTTGTTTGACTTGAGACATGTCATCATCAAGAAGTTTGACATGCACCCAGACAGTGGTCGTCTGTTTGTGAACCTGTTGGATCTCTTTCTTGATGCATCAGAGATTCACTGTGCTAAAACATTTGCTGAGGAGTGCATAAATGGTACTTGATTTTGAATTTGTTTATTGTGCCAGTTATTTCTTTAGCATAAATGATACTTGATTTTGAATTTGTTTATTTCTTTAGCATAAATAGCACTTGTAATTACTTGATGTTTTGTTCAGTTACAAGTTGTCAAGAGAGGTTTATTACATTATTCTCTTTTCTATCCTACCGCCCCCACCCCAACCCATTTTTTTTTTTCAGATAAATAAATAAATTTGTGCGTGGTGGTTCTGTGTGTGTGTCACTGTATGTCTCATATATATATATATATATATATATATATATATATATATATATATATATATATATATATATATATATATATATATATATATATAGATAGATATATATATATACACACACACACACACATACATATATAGGTCTAGTGCACAGTGATTGATTTATGGTTTGTGTTATCTTTGCAACACTCCCCACACATCCATTGGTGCTCAGATTTCCCCTTCAACATATACATAAGTGCATCAGTGTTGTTTATTTTATTATCAAATTTCTCAGTATGTGCCCTATCCAATGCCAGTGTCGTTTCCTCACCTCTTGAGTCAATACCATGCCATTTTTCTTGCCTAAAAAAAATCTCACCCTAGAGCTTTAGTAAAATAGGCACTGAAATGGGAAACAATTGGTCTGAGAACATAAAAAAAAGGACGTCCAAGAAAACAAGAACAATGTTATTACGGGAGGCAAAAAAAGCTGGGCTGAACTCCATGTACAAAAAAATCGAGAAAGTTGCATGCAATAGAGCAGAGTGGAGGAATCAAATTCAGGCCCTATGTAACATCTAACGGCACACAAAGGATGAGAAGATAAGAGAGCTTTAGTGCTTGGGAAAAAACAATAACCTTGCCATTTTTGTTGGCAGAGTAAGCATCATAACTGCTGCCACTGTTGCTCCGGTGATAGGATAGCCTCATCATGAAATTGATAATTCTGTATGCTAGTATTGAAGTTGTCTTCATGTAGTTCCTTGCTGAAAACCGCATTTATCACTGCAAGTTATTGCAAGACTCTTAAATGGGTTTTCCTGATGTAAATTATGCTGAACCCCTCACAACCTGGATGTAAATTATGCTAAACCCCTCACAACCTTGCTGTAAATTATGCTGAACCCCTCACAACCTGGATGTAAATTATGCTAAACCCCTCACAACCTGGATGTAAATTATGCTGAACCCCTCACAACCTTGATGTAAATTATGCTGAACCCCTCACAGCCTGGATGTAAATTATGCTAAACCCCTCACAGCCTTGCTGTAAATTATGCTGAACCCCTCACAACCTGGATGTAAATTATGCTAAACCCCTCACAACCTGGATGTAAATTATGCTGAACCCCTCACAACCTTGATGTAAATTATGCTGAACCCCTCACAGCCTTGCTGTAAATTATGCTGAACCCCTCACAACCTTGATGTAAATTATGCTGAACCCCTCACAACCTGGATGTAAATTATGCTGAACCCCTCACAACCTTGATGTAAATTATGCTGAACCCCTCACAGCCTTGATGTAAATTATGCTGAACCCCTCACAGCCTTGATGTAAATTATGCTGAACCCCTCACAACCTGGATGTAAATTATGCTGAACCCCTCACAACCTGGATGTAAATTATGCTGAACCCCTCACAGCCTTGATGTAAATTATGCTGAACCCCTCACAGCCTTGATGTAAATTATGCTGAACCCCTCACAGCCTTGATGTGAATTATGCTGAGCCCCTCACAACCTTGATGTAAATTATGCTGAACCCCTCACAGCCTTGATGTAAATTATGCTGAACCCCTCACAGCCTTGATGTAAATTATGCTGAACCCCTCACAACCTGGATGTAAACTATGCTGAACCCCTCACAGCCTTGATGTAAATTATGCTGAACCCCTCACAGCCTTGATGTAAATTATGCTGAACCCCTCACAGCCTTGATGTAAATTATGCTGAACCCCTCACAGCCTTGCTGTAAATTATGCTGAACCCCTCACAGCCTTGATGTACATTATGCTGAACCCCTCACAGCCTTGATGTAAATTATGCTGAACCCCTCACAACCCTGATGTAAATTATGCTGAACCCCTCACAACCTTGATCTTTTGTAGCTGCTTACACATCTGGGAGCTGCGGTGACATAGTGGCTAGGTGCTTGTCTTCTTGCTTGAAAATCTAGGGTTTAGAACTGCATTTTTAAAAATTTACCGTGGCACTCTGGCTGACCCAGCCAAGAATGAGTACCATTTAATGTCCTGGACAGTAACGTCACCTGATTGGTCTAATGTACAGGTCAAGTGCTATTTGCCTGATACACTTCTACTTAATGTTCAGTGGCTGTAAACTCTGATAAAAAGTTGTGGCTGTTCATGCACTTCTGGATGCTGGTCTTGTTCCAGGACCTGAGTTTTGCATGCACATCCACTTTACAGCTCTGGCTTATTTATTTGCAGGCTGTTGGTTCCTTGCTTCTCAGACAGAAGCACTCTGACTATAAAGGAAACACTGCTAATTGTCGCCTTGTACGACTTGCTTGGTGGTGGTGGTGTTTGTGAATTTATTCTTGTTCCTCACTTAATGGTCCCTGGAAACCACACGGGAACCCAGATGCACCAAAGATGTGAAAAAGACCCTTTAATTCCTTACTGTAATCTATAATACACATCTGTAATCTTTGTAAACAGCTGTTTTATATTGCAGGTCATCACACAGGACAGCGTTTAGATGCTGATACTATAAAACAGTTTCATGTCCAGTTTTGGAGAAAAGCTGCATACTACTTTGAGGTAATATATTCTTTTTAATACTTTCCCACCATTTAAGTAGGCATATGGTGCTGACCCTGTATTTATCAGCATGATGAAAAGAATCACCAGCTACTTTTACATTCACATACATGCCTGGTGACCTTTTGACTGTGTATGGTCAGTTGTAAGAAAGCAGTGGGATAGTAATAAGGAAAGAACCCTTTTCTCTCATTTTGAAGTATAGTGTGCATATAGTTTAGCCTAATATTTATAACTCCTACAGTCCCAAGTAGTTGTTACTACAACAAGGTCTTTTCTAAAGTTGTACCCTGGAACAACAATTCTGTAGTGGAATCAAATTGGAAAATGCAGCTTTGGGACAGAAGAAATTGTGATAACATCTTTGACAGAAGGTGTTCACATAACAGAAGAATGGAACAGAAAGGGTAAATAAACTGTGAACCATGTAAAGAGTAACCAATGAACATATAGTAAGTTTCCTCGTATGAAAGAGTTAAAACTGGTCGGCGCTTGATAGGTGATCGGATAATATTCACTGGCCACCTTTATTTCCCATAACAATTTCTGGTCGTTTTTTTTAACACTGAGTTGACCTAAAAGCCCAAGTCAGTTTAAAAAATCCATGTCTCAGAAAAATCAAATTGACGAGCAAGCATATTGACCACTGGTCTACTACAGTGCCCCTTGTTTATGTAATAAGTTCTAACACTGGCCACTATCCCCTCATAGCTCCTTAGAAAAGGACCAGTAGTCCCTAGCTCTAAACAGCATTATCTGAAGACCACCTATATAACAAGGACTGCCATTTGTAGATAGCCTTCTTTAGTTATTTGTCAGAAAATGTGTCCTAGTGTTGGTTCCCATTCTTTTGTTGGGGAGGGAGGGGGAAAAAAAAGGGGGGGGGGGAGAACCTTCCCTTTAACAGGCATGCCATAAAAGGTGATTATTTAAGGGTTTGCTGAAATCAGGAGTGTTGGGTCAAAAAGGGCAGATATTACAGCCAAACTTTGAACCACAACACGGCATGCCATGCCATTTTGAATGCAAAGGCAGAAGAATAAAGCCTGGAAGTTTCAGTAGCTGATGTTCTACTGACCACGTCACTTATCATTTTCCTTTTGGTGTATAAAAAATATGAGGTCGCGCCTGAATACACATAAATGTAAATGGGAATTTTACTTACAAATGTCACCATCATCTCATCCTCATGCGGTGCTTTGTGGACTGGTGTGGGCAATCATGCCTCTTCAGATCTGCAATCTTCAGCAGCATGTATCAGTTTGTGGGCTGACATCACTACATGCCATGATACAAGGCTGTCAAGAATCTTCTCATTTCTTCTTCCTCTATCTGATTTTTTTCCCCCAGATCTTTCCAGTGGTCACAGCATGTTCCAATTTCCTTGTTCTCATGTTGACCTAAATAAAATGACTGTCTCTTTCTGATGGATATGAACATTTGTCTTCTAGCCCTTGCCTCTTTTAAAACATCTGGGTTGCTCTTTTTGTGGCTATCCAAGCAATTCTAAGGATTCTTCTGTAAAACCACATCTCCGAAAGCCTCAAGAAATGTATCCGTTTGTTTTTATTAATTGCCAGGAATGACAGCCATATGTTTAAATGGTTCTAAA